TCAGTGTCATCCCCACGGCTCCTCCCAGGTGTTTACACATCGGCACCCAACTTCCTCCTCCGGGACAGCTCGCGCCCAGCCCCTCCTGGGCTGCCATGTCTGCTCTTCCCAGGCCCACCCAGATCCATCCGCCCATCTCACGTCCCCCCAGAAGTGCTCCCGGAGCCCCACCCACCGCATCCAGCTTCCGGGGCTGCCAGCACCCCCGTATTTCCCCCGCAGTCAGGGCCCGTGCAATCACTCCTACCAGCCTCTCAAGAGCTGGCGCATGAGCTCCTTCAAGGCAGGGGCTATGCCTTGTCACTATTCAATCCAGATGTGCAGCAAGGAGCCCTGGTGGCACAGTGCTTAAAGCACTCGGTTGCTAACTGAAAGGCTGGTGGTTAGAACCCACCAGCCACTCTGGAGGGAAAAGGTGTGGCAGTCTGCTTCTGGAAAGATTACCCATTGGCGTGGAGTGGATTCTGACCCACAGCGCCCCCTCTAGGACAGGGCAGAACTGCCTCCTAGGGTTTCCAAGGCTGTAATCTTCACAGAATCTGACTGCCACAGCCTCCTCCCATGGAGTGGCTGCTGCATGCCAGACGCTGACCTTTCAGTCTGCAGCCAAGTGCTTAACCCCTGTGCCACCAGGGCTCCTCTGTAAAGATGACAGCCTTGGAAACCTTGCGGGGGAGCTCTGCTCTGTCCTCCGGAGGCGTTGTGGGTCAGGATTGACTCCATGGCAGTGCGTTTGGTCCTGGGCTTTGCTTCTGTAAAGACTGACAGCCCTGGAAACCCTATGGGGGCAGTTCTGCCCTGTTCTCTAGGGCGCTGTGCATCAGAATGGACTTGCTAGCAGTGGGTTTGGTCTTGGGACACAGCAGGAGCTCAGCAAACCATTACGAAATGCAGACATGTCACAGCTCTCCCTGAATCCTGCCCAGGACAGGGAACGTCCCCGAGAGGAGCACACAGACATCGCTGAGGGTCCCAGGGAAGCGGCTGGTCCTGGCCCCGACACTGGTTCCCAGGACAAGCTCCCTCTGTGGCCCTGCTCCGGGCTCAGACTTCCCCTGGCACTGTGACGGGGGTTCTGAGTTCAGGGCAGCACTGGATTCCTGAGCACCCCAGATCCCAATCCAGGCATCACTCCGTATCCCATTGTGGGACAAGAGCCCTGCCATTGGCACAACCCTGTCTGGCCTGCTCACATCAGAGACCATGGCCAGAGAAGGACCTGCTGGTTCCCCGGACACCCAGGACAGATCAGGGCACCTGTGGGACACTAAAGGCACAAGGCTCCAAGTCTAGGTGATAAAAGTCCCCAGCGACAAGCATTTCCTCTTCAAATGCTGCTTTCTCTGCTCCATGACTGAGATCCCCTGGGCGACTGAAGCCCTGGTCAAGCATGATTCAAAAGGCTCCCTTTGGGCAGGGAACGCTCCCAGCATGTCCTGGCTGCCATAACTCTGCCGGAGAAGCCAGCCGGCCTGGAAATTACCCCCATTAGGTCTAATTACAGGTGTGTGCCATACTCAGTCTCCACAGAGTGACAGGCGCAGGGCCTGCTGGGAACTGCAGCTGAGGTAATGACCAGAGGGTAGGGAGGGGCGGAGCGGGGTGGAGCAGGCCACTTCCCCTCCTGTCACCTCAAGGGCCTTGCTAGGGACAGAGAGATGCCAAAATGGGCAAGAGACTTCACAAAGGACCCTCCCCTCGATTGCCCTGGGCTGTGAGGTGAGGGCCAGCCTCCCCCCCGCTCCCAGCCTTTCCTCTCGCTCCCCATGAAAGGCTGCAAGTCGTGTAGAACAAGCTGCCTCCTGGATGCCAAGAGCAGCCACAGATGCTGTCGACAGCCACGGATGCCGGGAGCAGCCACTGATGCCACCAATAGCCACAGATGCTGTCAGCAGCCATGGACGCCGGAAGCAGCTGTTCCCAAATCAGTGTCGCTCAGAATCACCCAGGGTAATGCAGGTTCCAGGGCCACAGGCAGCCCTATTACATCAGAAGATTGGGGGATGGGTCCAGGAATCTGTCAACCGTCTCCCCAGGTGTTGCTTGGGGCACTAATGTTGGAGCCGTCAGGCCTGCCGGGTGCGGAGGTCCTTTAGAAGAGTGGGGCCCACAGAAGGGAGGACCCAAGGCAGAGGGCCAGGGCTGGTCTGGGGCCCGGCTGCAAGCCCTGCTGTTGTCCGCTGTCAGTCAGTGTCGACTCGCGGCATCCCCACAGACAACAGAACAAAACACTGCCCGGCTGTCATCTCGATCCCTGCCGTGCGTGAGCCCACCGTGGCCCCTGCTATGTCAGTCCACCTCGTTGAGCCCGGCTGCGAGGCTTAGCTTGGTGGATTTGCAATAAGGTGACTTCTGACATATTCCTGTTACGATGAACTTCACTGACTGGGGCTCTTTTTCGTTCATCTTATCGTTAGTCACCTGCACTACGCATAACGGTGCAGCGTGTAATTTGCTGCTGTTACCGTTCTCAGATGTGCACTCACAGCTGTTCAAAGACTGGCTTTACAAAGATACTGATCATAAAGGCAATGATGAAAACCAAAAGAAAAGGAAAAAAGGTATTTGACTTATATCAGAAATGACCTATGACGGAGTTGTCAGAACGGGGCCCCATCGCAAGTTGGGGACCACCGGGATTTGGATTCCTTGACCATTTTTTTTTTTTTTTTTTTTTAATTAACTCACTAATAAAAGTAAACAGATGTTCATGGTTCACCAAAAAAAAAAAAAAAAAATCAGAAAGGGAAAACAATGGGAAGTCAGTCTTCCTCCCCAAACAGGCAGCCCCTCGGCACGCAGCCACTGTTGCCAACCTCTCCAGGGTCTGGCCAGAAATGACCAGGGGCACTGGAGTGTGTCCACTGCACACGGCCCCACCCCTACACATACCTGCATGGTCTGCGGGTGGAGCGCTCTAACCACAGGGATGGCACCTGTTCATTTAGCTTAATGATCTCCCGTGGAGGTGGCCGACCTGAGCCGGGGGAGGGGAAGTCCTTGTAGGTTCCCACCCGCCCCTGCCTGCTCTGGGCCAGAGCCGGGAAGGTGTGCTCTGGCCCGCGGAGGGAAGGAGAGCCAAGGGGCGGGTTGGGACACGGGAGCAGGTAGAAAACGCTTGATGAACATGGTGTTGGGCACCGGGGGGGTTGGTCATGTCCAAGCTACGGCATGAAGTGAAGGGCTTGGGTGATACAGGAGCCACATTGGTGCCAGCGATGAGACATGCCGTTCAGGCGCCAGCCCCAACCCGCACGTGTGCACTGACGCACACCACACAAGACACACTGAAGAAGACTGAGTGTTCCACGGCCTTGCTACTCAAAGCGTGGTCCGTGGACCAGCCACATCGGCACCCCCAAGAGCTCGCTGGACTGCAGGTCTCAGCCCCAGGCCAGACCTGCCAAATCGGAATCTGCGTTTCAACCAGATCCGCAGAGATCACGTGTCCATTACCGTCTGAGATGTTTTGCTAAAAGAGGCTGTGGACCCACCCCTATGATGCAGGTCAAAGGACCTCCACAGATTCACCTCAAAACCACTGATTGAGCACCTAACATGTGACAGCACTGTTCACAGGGCCTGGCCTCCTGGCAGGTGTTCAAGAAATGATCTTTGAGAGCAGGGCCACCATGCAGGGGGTGCGGGTCGCTCCAGAGGCTAATGGAGGGAACGGCAGGTAGGGCTTGTGCCCTGGGGCCACCTGAGGGGGGCACCCATGAGCAGCTTCCGTTGTCAGCTGTGAGGCTCATTCAGCAAGTTCAAACTCATGGACACAGGTGCTATTCTCTGTAGATACACCTCAGGGCTGCTCACTGCACAGAACCCCCCACCCCCATACACACATGGCTGAACTCCAGCCCCAACCCCCTCCAATCCAGGGCTATGTCTGCTCAGGGAGGCCGGACATCTTGCCCAACCCGGGGAAAGCCTGGGCTCACACAGAGGGCCTGCCCACATCCGAGTCTCACCTGTGTTCTCATGATGACCTTGATGGCTGCCTCAAACTCCTCTGAGTTGTTGTAGTCGACAGTCCACACGTGGGGCTTACCAATGAAGTTCTCCGCGTAGGGATGCTGGGAGAACACCTGCAAGGGC